GGGGGGGCATGTCTCCCCCTATGTGAAGATACCCGGGGTGTGAAGTGCTTAATCAACAGTATAAACACAGGAAACGATCACCTCCACAGTACTGCAGAGCCAATCTGCATCTTCACAGATCTGCCTGTCCTTCTAATCAGCCCAGGGAAGATAATCTTGTTTGGGCCTGGGATTTGATGATCATCCCCCTGGTTGAGATCCGAGTTTAATACCCCCCACTCCCTCCCCCTCGCCTGGTCTGTGGAGAGGGCCGGCTCGCTGCCTCTCTGACCTCGTTAAGGTGGTTCAAGCGGGATTGTCCGGCTCTGCTGGGGGCTGCAGCACCAAGACCTACCACTCGGGCCCCAGAGCCCACTGAGAGCACATTCGCCCATCACCCGACCGGCTGGCACCGCTGAACAGGCCGCTGCAGGCTCCTCGCAGGCAACGACAGCTCCACTCCGCATCAGACCGAGCCACTCCACGTTTTACCACCTGCCAGGCTCTCACACAGAAGGACTCGGCTTTCGCTGCGTTTTGCCAGAACAGCCATGGAGCCCCAGTGATGTCCAGGAGGTGGACACGGGCCCTCCGGGTCGGCCGCACGGGTAAGACACCTCACGAGGGCGTGGCAGGGTGTCCTGCGCCGAGCCCCCCGCCCCGGCCGGGCTCGAACCCTGCGCCGGCACACACGCGCCGCGCCTCGTCCCTCCCGCCAGCGGGCAGCGCAGCCCACCGGCCAGGCGCACGGGCAGGGCCAGGGGTCCGCAGGAATCGAGCCCGTCCAGGTCCCGGGCCCTCCCAGTGAACAAGCACCCCGTCAACTCGCCGCGTTTAAAATCAATTAGAGGCGCTGCGACACGCACCAGCCCCCCCCAGTGCACCCCCCCTCGGGCCGGGGGCCACAGGGCCCCGATTGTGATGCTAACGAGCCGACCTGCCCTGCAACGCCCTGGACATCTGCTCCGCTGCGTGTGTCAGGCCCCCGATTCAATTTGCTCACATGAAACAGAAAGCAGACAAGCCCCCAGAGGCCCGTGGGGGGGGGGGGCTTCAGGATTAGAACGTGGGCGTGTGTCGGAGCTGTACTGATGTGTGTGCGTGAGGAGGAAGCAAGGAGGAGGAGGGGCACAGAGCGAAGTGTGTGTCCAAGGAAAGCGCAGCGCAGGGAGCTGTGTGTGTGGGAGTGGGAGTGGGAGGGAGTTTCTTTAGAGGGAGAGCTGGGCTGTCTGGGGGGGGTGTAACCCATACACAGCAGGGGGCAGCCCCAGTAAAGCCTCCCCCTGCCCAGGAAGGACCCTGCTGCCCGGCCCTGCCCTCCTCGGGGAAGTCCAGGGTCCACAAACCCACAGGCCGATGGAGGATCACGCCAGGGGCCTGGGGGTCAGTCGGGAGCACCCCCTGCTTCCAGGTCGCTCCAGGGGCGCTGTGGCCAGCGGCTGACGGGGGGGGGGGGCAGCATGAACTGGCCCCTCAGTCCAGCTCTGCAGAGCCATCGACCCGGCGGGCCGCACAAGACAGCAAACTGCACCTCTCACACCCCAGCTGGGCGGCTGGAGCGCCCCGGGCCGCCTGGGGGCAGGAGGCTGGGCAGGGCCTTGTGTTTGCTAACCACTGTAGCATGACGGGGCTCTCTCAGCACAGAGACTCGGTAATCCCTTCCAAATCCCTCGTGCAGGGCCCGATTACTGGAATCAAGCAGCATAAGGGCTCTCCAATTGGATTATCAGCCATGGGAGGGATCGGCAGCGTCTGGCCTCGCTGTCAACTCACTGCAGTGTGTGTACTGTGTGTGCGTGTATCTCTGTGCACACGCCTGTCTCTGTGTGTGTGCGTGTATCTGTGCCCATGTGTGTACCCATATGTGTGTATGAGTGTGTGCACGCGTGTACCCGTGTGTGTGTGTGTGTGTGTCTGTGCGCACGTGTGTAAATGAATCTGCGTTAGTGTATGCACACGCGTGTACCCACGTATGTGTGTCTACCCGTGTGTATGCGAAACGTCAGCATAGATCTCTGATCTAGGTGGCTGCCAGCAGTTCAGGCAGGCTGGTCTGGGAGAAAGCACAGGCCGACCCCACTCCTGCAGGGAGACCAGCAGGGGGTGCTCTACCCCTTCACTGCCTGTTCCACTCCATTCACACACCACGGCCAGCAGGGGGAGCTGTGCAGCAAGAACTGGGAGATACCAGGCCCACAGGGAGCAGTCAGGCCCATCCCTGCGGACGAGGGTTTTCTGCCTTTTCCACTAGAAGCAGGGTGTTAACCCCAGCACCTCGCCCGTCTGGACTCGGGGCTCTCCTCACCCTGCTGGCAGGCAGCGACCCTGGTGCGAGGGACTGCCCAGCCAAAGCCTGCAGACCACTAATTAGGCTAATTAAGGACTCCACTGGTCTGAACACTGTTTCTGGTTGGCTTCCGGCTGTAAGACCCAGAACCAGGAAACCCGATAAACAACCCCCTGGTGCTCCTGGACCCAGATCTAACACAGAAGGGAGCCGAGACCAGGGTCTGTGACCAGAACTCCCGGGCCGGTGTGGAGACAAGCCCAACAGCACCGGGTCTCCAACCTGGGTCCGCAGGCAACCGCAGCCTGATCACCTGCACCAAGTCCATACCAGGTCAATCAGAACCAGTGAACCGAGAGCTGGGTTCAGTGCAAGAGACTCCTCCTAACAGGAGGGGGACAGGGGAGAAGGGGAGAAGGTTTCACAGTCTGACAGCCTGTTTCTCAGGTAAAGACCTACTACACCCCCACTCGGCAGGGTGGGCTGACCCAGCTCCTCAGCATTCCAGCCGCCAAGATGCACAGCAGACAGGGTGGGGACACAGGGTAGCAACTTCAACACCGATCACGCTCACCTGCCCCTCCCAGGCTGCACCCCACGTACCCCAACACAGGCACTCCCTCGCTGGCACTGCTCCACACGCCTGCTAGCAGCAGCAACGCTGGGCTCCCTTCACAGGACTGAACACCAGCAGAGTCGCTAGAGTGTCTTTTCACCGCTAAAAGATTCCAAAACCCCAGCTGCTGCTCCAGCTGAATGGAGGGGAACTTCAGGCAGCTCAGACCACATCAGACCGGGGCAGAGTGGTGGAGCTCAGCCAGACGAGCAGCGTGAGCACCCTCCGCTCACGAGCAGAGACACGGTCTTTAATGACCGAGTGGTCGGCGCCCCCCTGTCCCCATGCTGGGGTATCGGTAGGGAACCTCTAGCTCTGAGGGAACAGCGTCACCTACTGGTCCACCAGCGCCACTCACAGCAGCAACCCGGCTTTCCTTAGAGTCTCCCACCCTGGTACTGACCCGGCCCGGCTTCTGAGACCTGCTGGCCACAAGATACAAGGCAGTAAAGCTGGTGTATTAAATGTATTTCTAACCATCTGAAATCTGGATTGAGAACTGCATTACACAACTGTTCCAGCCGCACCACAGAGCTCACAAGTTCAGGAAGGTGCAGGGACAGACACGTCTGCGACACCAGACCAGTGCTGACCTCCGACGACCACAAGCAGGCAGGAGACCCAGACCAGCCTGCACCAGCCCTAACGTCCGCAGCTGTGTCCCGAGCTGTGTCCCCATCACAGCAGTGCCAGGCGCTGCACAGACCCCGCCCCCGCTAGGCGAGCCTTTTTAATTATTGTTACTGCCGCTACGGCAACAGTAATTATGGCCGCCTGTGCGCCAGCAGACGTGCCTTCCGGAGAGGAGCGGGAGACCGGCGCTGCCGGCGGCCCTGGGGGACACGGGGGGGGAGAGGGCGCGCCCCGAGACCGGCGCAGCCAGCAGGAGGAAAGAGCGACGCGCCTCGGGACACCCGGCGTGCAGGGGGACCCCTCTGACTGCCCAGGGCACGACGTGAAGCACAGCTCGGGGTCACCGCGCGCCCCAGCTCTTCCCCGTCTCTCAGTGGGCCGGGGCGCCTAGAGCTCCTCGATCCCGAGACCTCTGAGCACCTCAGCAGCGCCGGATCTTTTCCCCAGGAGGAGGACATGAGCTCCACACCAGCGCCCCCACGCCAGACACAGACCAGCTTTCGGCCCAGGTTTCAGGCTGGGGTCCTGAGTCTTCGGGGTCCCCCTCGGGCCACTGCTGTAGGGACTGTAGGGTGTGTGGAGCCTGAGGGGCAGAAAGCACGCTGGGCACTGGGCCCCGGGCTGGTACCCCCCTTGAGGCCAGCGGGACCAGTAACTGACTGTGGCGAGTTAATAACAATAATAATTATAATTATTGCTTACACTTATATAGCGCTTTTCTGGACACTCCACTCAAAGCGCTTTACAGGTAATGGGGATCCCCTCCACCACCACCAGTGTGCAGCCCCACCTGGATGATGCGACGGCAGCCACAGTGCGCCAGAACGCTCCCCACACACCACCTCTCAGTGGGGAGGAGAGCAGAGTGATGAAGCCAGTTCAGAGAGGGGGATTATTAGGAGGCCATGATTGGTAAGGGCCAATGGGAAATTTGGCCAGGACACCGGGGTTACACCCCTACTCTTTTCGAGAAACGCCCTGGGATTTTTAATGACCACAGAGAGTCAGGACCTCGGTTTTACGTCTCATCTGAAGGACGGCGCCTGTTTACAGTACAGTGCCCCCGTCACTATACTGGAGCATTAAAACCACGTGGACCGCAGGGTGAGTGCCCCCTGTCGGTCCCACTAACACCCCTTCCAGCAGCAACCTTAGTTGAGGGTTGTTGAGATCTGGGGGTGAAGACAAGGAGGAGCAGTAGTGACACTCCAGGCGCTCACAGGTGAAATCACAAGTGACACAGCACCAGGGTCCCAGGCTCCATTCCAACCTCAGGCACCTTTCTGTGGGGAGTTTGCACGTTCTGCCCAGCTCTGCAGGGGCTTTCCCCAGGTGCTCCAATTCAAGGTGCACAGGTAACCTCTTCATCCTGGAGAGGAGGACGACTGGGACCCCCCTCTTCCCGAACCTCACGCATCGGGAGTTTCAGAACCTCCACACACAACGCCGGGCTTTCCTGATCCTGTCGGGGGGAGGGGGGCATCACATTGCTCAGCCCCTCATGGACCCCCTGTTAATTAATCAAGCGTATGAATCGAAAACTGACGGAGATCCAGATGATCAACACAAACCAGGCGACAAAGACGCCTTCTTCTGGAGCTGATCTGTGGCCGGACTCTGCGGGTCTATCCTTTCTTCAGAAAACGAGTAGAATTAATTTACATTCTATACCTGTCTTTCAGCGCCAGCTGGAGATCTGAGCAGCTCTGAGCCCCCGGACTGCAGCTCCAGAGCGAAAACCACGGCCAGACGCACCACGATCTAAAATGATGTAATATCAGGCTGAGACGCCATGAATTAATGTGGCCTGCGTGCGTGTTTCTTTCCAAGCTCACCTAATCACAGCCGAGGAAGGCTGTATAAATCTCATTAATAACAGCCGTATGAGCATTTAAGGTGCTGCAGTAAAAATGAAGTACGTTTAAAATGTAAGCCAATTGGAACCGGTTAAATTTAAATAAACTGTATTAAACTGGACCGGTTAATGCGGAATTGAGGAACATACCCTATAAATTACAACACGGCATTGTCTTAAGTATTTTAATTTCATATTTTGGTCAACTTTCGAGGGGCGATATTCAGTTTAGCGTCAGTTTGATGAAGTTATCGTGAAACGCGTGAGTCCCTCATCGTCCGCCTGCTCTCTTCAAGATGGTAGCTGTTACTGTCGCGGACGACCAGCGGGAGAAACGCGTCTCGCCTCCTCCGGCCCCGGGTCCAGGGGAAACCCCCCGCCCGGGCCCTGGGGGTGACTCCCTCGCCTCTCGCCCAGACGAGCGGCCCGCCGGCGGCGGCGGGGACCCCCATCCCCGGCCGGGGTCCCCGGGCGAGCTCGCTGCGCGCGAGCGAGGACACGGCCATTTTGTGGAAGTTTTGCAGAAATAACGTGTCGTTTCCGTTCGGGCCGCTTCAGGCGCGGATCTCGCCGGAAAGGCGGCCGGCTGTCCGGGGGGCAGCGGCGCGGCTTCAGTAGTAGCCCCCGGGCCGCCGCCGCTGCCCCCCGGACGTGCGCTCACGCAACGCCAGGTTTGCCCCCAGCACGGCGCGCGCTCCCCGGGGCAGGAGGGGCGACCCGCCGCGCGTCTTAAAATGGACCCCGGCGGAGCCGCGCGGCGCCGGCGGCCGGGTCCCCGAAATGTAAACAGCTGCTGCCGGAGGAACGGGGGGGGGGGGCGCGGGTGCACGCGCTCGGGGTGCCCCCTGAGCCCGGAGGAAAAACACACACTCACACGAGCGCGCGCACCCACACTTCGACGCGCGCGCGCGCGCGCGCAGCGATTTTAAACACGACGGCACGGCGAGAGCGGATCGAGAAGGAGAATAAAGACGCCGAGACTCACCGAGTGTCTGGATTGTGGAAACATCATGTCAGTTTCCTGTTGTTAATTCCTTCTGCCGAACAAAGACGAAAGCCGGGGTGAGGGACCTGGAATCGCTCCCTTTGTCTCCCCGTGTCGGGGACGGAGGTGCTCGCGGCGCGTCGACGCCAGTCACCGCAGGAGACGAGCCTCGCTCCTGTTTCTCAGCCCTGTGTTCGTCTTCCCAACCGGCCCTAATGTATCCCACTCATACTGCGGAGCGCTGGGGTTTCTGTCCTTTGTTTTAAGAGAGAAAGTCTCGGAACCGTGTTCTCCTCCCAGACGGTCCAAAGTTTGAACAAGCAGCGCTGCTCCTGCGCGGCTCCCTTCCCCGTGACTGACAGAAACGCAATCACGCTGCTCCCCGCAGCCCTTCCCTGCCTCGCCGTTACTGTCTGCCGGCGCACGCCGTCCTGCGCCTGCTCGGCAGCGGGCGGATGAGCTGGGCGGACGTGTTTTCAGAGCGCCCTGCGGGTCGTGTGCGTGGGGCTGCGCTCGCGGTGTGGGTGCCGTGTCTGCTGACCGACCATGTCGCCGCCGCGCTCGAGCTCTGACACCACGCACGAGCCGCGCGGCCCGCGTGACGCGGGACTGGGGCGGCGCTGCGCTCGGGCGCGCTCGGCAGGCCCCGGCTGCGCTGTCGGGTGGGTGAAAACACGAACGCTTAGCGGAAGTGTTGCCGTCTAATGTGTCCCCCCTCTCGCCCTCCTCCCGGCCCGCGGGTGCGAGCTCTGTTCCTCCCCGCACACCCGTGGGGTCCAGGCCAGGGGTGCGGGGGGTCTAGTTACTGTGAACTACACGCGTTTTCAATTGCTCGGGGGGATTTTAAGTCCTCAGGACCGGAACCGTCTTTTAACCCTCCTAGACCGCCATGATGATTCCGCTGTGCACTGGCTGCTTAAACGACGTCTGGCTGTGGGTATCCCAGCGAGACGATTCACCTAGATCAATTCGAGTAGGGAGCAGCGTCGGCCGCAGAGGAAAGGGCGAAGGTGTTTTCCCTGCTGAAAGGAAAAGAAAGGAAACACAGCGAGGCGTTGTGCCGAAACAAATGTCGTGTTGCTTTTTTCTAACCTTCCAGCAGAGAATGAACCTTCACCTGTTTGGATGAAGCTCTGTGTGTGGACGAGTACTCTGTGTCTCGCATGGTGATGTTTCGTGCCCTGACGTCTGTAGGTTCAGAGGAAGTTGTGAAAGAGGAGTATGTTTCCCGCAGGCCCAGCACAGGGAAGCGCCGATCAGAAGGAGCGGTCCGAGCGAGTCCAGAGCTGTGGTGCTGTCTCAGAGGTCCACTCTGCCCGCCCTGCGGGACCCAGCGGGACCTAGCGCTCCCGGCTGAAAGCAGAGCACTGCCTGCTGGTTCTGCGAATGAATTTTTAATAAGACAAGGCCAGAGTCATAACTATTTAATGAGACATAATCTGTACTGCAAATAATTAATCAGGAGCTGTCTGTATGATGCCACAGCTGATGGGGAAATAACTTTTGGCTGCGGTTTGAACAGTACAAGGGATGGAGTGGAGTCAACTGAAAGGCCACTGTATTGTGTACAGGACTGTATCACTGTACTGTACTGTGTG